CTTTGTCTGCTCGGGGCTCCGGGGTGGTCGCTGAAGCGGGAAGTGTGCGCCGGGCCGGGGAAGCGCAGGTGAGCCGTGGGCCTCAGGGCTGCGCTCGGGCCCGGCAGCCACCGCACTCGCGGCCCCGCCCCATCGCCACCGCGCGGGGCCTGGGCCTCCTAGGGCGCTGCCTCTCGGTGCAGAACCGTATGTATGGCAAAGGTCGATGAGAGACCAGGCGAACCCGTCATTCAAAGGCCCTTTGCCTTTCCCCGTGAATTTCTAGGTATTTCTGCTTATTTTCAAGTAGCTCAGAGCTGTTGGCATATTAAACCCATTCATTAGTGTGTGTTCAGAGGACAGCAATATTGAAAAGGATAGAAGTGAAAGCGGATGAATGATGCTACTGTTATCTGGCGGTGTCTGGTATTTTTTTTTAACTGTTTTGCATTTTATCTATCTATTGTAGAATAATGACCACCCCTTTCCATTCTGCTCCCCATTCACAAGCCCAACGTTGCCCACCTATATTTTGGTTCTACTTTGAAGTTCAGTTGAACTTTAAATGGTTAGTTAATTTTTAAAGCAAATAGTTTTTAAAGACAATATGTGGTATTATTTTTCTTGATTCTCCTAAATAATTTTCTTCCCCAGAATTTCTGAGGAGCATGTTAATACTATTTTTAAGTGCCATGCTATGGAACACAACTTAACCACAGAGCTGAGTCAAAGGCCTAGTGGAAAGGAAGCTAGTAGAAAGATCTGAAACACTGGCCCTCAGCATCCTTTAAATTAAGGTTTCCAATAGATAGCCTCACATTTGGTATTATATGGGGTAAGCTGGGATGTTCTTGACAGTGTTGTAGACTTATTATTTTTGAATGTGTATGTTTTTAGAAATAACAGCAAAAATAAGACCAGGAACACTAAATTTATTTTTTTCTTTCAATTGTGCTGACATCTTTAAATTTTAAAGTAATGTTTTTTTTCTTATGATTTTGCTTTTTTGTATAAGGAGATAAATTAGAGAGGCTGTGTGTGGGGTTGGAGGAGAGATCTTATATAGTGTAGAGATTTGAGGTATTATATTTATTCATGAAAAGAAACGTAAGACTATTCTAGTGCCAGCTATTAAGTCAGGTGGTGGGACTAAAGAGATGAATAGAAGATGGCCATTACCTACATGGGCACACACTCATTTCCTCACAGTTGTGTGAATGGAAGAATAATTTCAACAAGAATAAGCCCTTTTATTGACTAATTACCTATGTGGGGCCCTATACACAGTGGTTTTCAGTGAGGTCCTTATTTAATAAAGCTTCACAGAGAAAATGTGAAGCAGTTATAGTTACTTATCAATGATGAAATGGGTTCAGAGAGCTTGTCCAAAGTCATGAACCGGAGACTTCAACCTACGCATGTCTAACTCATGACCCAACTACCAGTGCAGTTTCCACAACTGCTTAGGCTTGAGGCTGTCCACGGAGAGAGACCAGGGGAGACCCTTGGTACATAGTGTAGAACTGGTTCAAAAGGAAACATCTTGTGTCCACAATCATGAGGGATATTGGCATGCAGTTTCCTTATGTCTGGTTTTACAATCAGTAGCAATCTTCAAATATGAGTTGAAAGTATTTTTGCCTCTTTCTGGTAAGTGTCTTTAGTACTTGGCAGAACTCCCATGTGAAGCTGTTGGGCTTGGGGTTGGGGAGTCATAAATAACAAACTCAGTCACCTGGACTGATACAGGACTGTTGAGATGGCTCTTCATTTTTCTGGAGTAGTTTTGGTGTATTCTGACCTCACAGACTTACCTATTTCAGTGAATGTTTGGCCTTTCACTCTCCTTAAAGTTTTCAGTGCTAGCCCTCCTTCATTTCTGATTTTGGTAATGTTCCTCCTTTCTTAGCTTCGCTAGATGCTTGTTCATTTTATTGACCTTTCTGAAGAATCTCCCATTGGTCATATTGGAGTGTTTTGTATTCTTTTTTTTTTAAATTTTGATTAGAATTCAAAATTCTAATTTCACTCTGTAGACCTGGATGGCCTCGAACTCAGAGATCCACCTGCTTGGGCCTCAGCATGCTGGGATTAAAGCCATGCCCCACCTCTGTTGGTATGATTTCTTCTCTATTGTGTTTTTCCTTCTTGCCTCTTTGTGGTTTAATCTCTCCTGTCCTCAAATGAAAGATGGGAGTCTGGAGCAGGCATCAGCAAACTGCAGGCCAGGGGCCTGTACCCAGCAGGCTATTCTTGAATGACCCATGAACTAGGCATGACTTTTGACTTTTTCTAATAGTTGAAGGGAAAAATATTTGATAACTCATAAAAGTGGAAGGAGATTCAATGTCAGTGTCTATGCATAAGTTGTATGGGGATGCAGCCACACTCAGCTGTTGATGTATTGCCTATGGCTGCCTTTCTCTGGAATGGCAGAATTAAGTGCCTATGTCAGAGATCGAGTAGCATTTGCATAGTCCTTATTCAAGTGCCTGATGCACTGTCAGCAAGTCTAGGTGCTGAACTCAACACCTAAATTATTACTTTTATCAGTGCATACTCATGCCAGAACAAGAAAAGCTAGAGAAATGCATTTGAAATGTTAACTTTTGAGCACAGCGAGTCAGAGGATGAAGCAGTGTGTGTGTGTGCCCTGACAAAGAGGCTGTGCTGAAGAGGGACAGTCAGTATACCACTGTCAACTAGAGTGAGCATAGCACAACATACCCAAGCTGCCTGAGAAAGCAAAGGCCAGTCGAAACAGCACGCTTTGACACTGATGCCCTCTTCCAGGCGAATCTCTTCACAGCGTGGAGGAAAAGCGGCAATGAAGCGTTGCGCTGCCAGTCAGTTTACAAATGGCTCGTTTGTTAGCCAAGGGAGGAAACCATTGACCAATGGGGACTTGGATTGCAGCAAGGGCAAAATTGTGTTCAGAGAAAATAAACTTGTTTAAAATGGTTAGCCTTTTGGCATGAACGTTTGCTTGAAGTGTTGAGGGCACCATTAATCAATTTAGAACCCAAGGAAATGATTTTGCGTGGGTTTCCTTGGCTCTTGATGAGATGGCAGATGCTAGCAATACTGCTCAGTTGTTTATTTGGGAAGTCCACACTGAGCTTGAAGTGACTGAAAAGTGAGTCGGAGCAAACATCGTGTGTTGGGGTTGTCGAGTACACAGACAGCGTTGTCAAGACATCCAAACATCAATTCCATACAACTGGAGTATTCAAGATGCATTCAAGGAAGGCTGTAAACATCTGTGAGAATGGAAATGAGCTCAGGTGGACATGGTTATGAAGCTGGAAAATGTGAGCTAGGTGAAGCTTGTGGCCATCTGTTGTTCATTCCTTGGTGTTTTGCTGATAATATTTATATATATCCTGTAGTCAGGGTCAGTATTTGGGGTTCCCATACAGGATCACCTGTTGTCAGTTCCACGGGTTTGTGTCAAGAGGAGGACAGACCCTCCCTTGCCTTAGCCACACAGCCGCCTGATGGCTAACAATAACCAGGTTTTGCGCTTAGGACAGAGATGGGGAGTTGTCAGAATGTGAGCGATAGCCCTCAGCCACTCTTATTGAACACCAAGTGGCTTGCTTTTGGCATAAACTTGGTAATATTTCTTAATTAATTCACCCTACACCAAGACAGAACAGGTGCTTCTATCAAAACCAAGACTGCAGCAAAATTATTGCTATGCCAGTTAGTGTTTCTATACACTATCAATGTTGTTCAACTTTCCTGTGAGATGTTGTCACCCACATTCTGGGCAGGCCTTCTTCCCAAGATTGATTTTTCTCTGGAACATTCTCCTGGATAGACCAGAGAAGTAGTTACTGATCTTTAAGGCACTTCTTTAAAAAGATTTTTTAAAATGTATGATTGCGGTATGAATGCATATGTATATGCATGCTTGTGGGTGCACCTGTGTGTGTAGGTGCACTGGCATGTATGTGAACAAATCATGTGTTGGTCAGAGAATGATGTCAGGGTTCTCCTTTGCTTTTTACCTTATATATTAAGGCAGGGTTTCTCACTTAAGCCCAGAGCTTGTTGATTCCACTGTCTACCTTGGGAGAGTTGAGCTACACAAACCACAGTGTAATTCCCTAGGAAGGGAAGAAGAAATACTTCTATTCTCTTTGTTAGACATTTAATTCCAGGAGATAGCAGGACAATTTGTACTCTTCCTAGGATCCCTTCTCAGTATTTCAGGACTTTCTATGCTTCTTGTCTTGGGAGGAAAGTGTCTTTGCTGAGAAGCCTTGGGTGACTGAGAGACTTCGGGAAAATAGAGAAAAGCCCGTATTGCTGAGTTGAAGGACTGGCCTAGACACCAGTAGCTCAGAGGGAATTCCCAGCATCAGATGGATGGACCTGATAGGATAACGTCAAATAGGATGGGGAGGTGGCTCAGCCGTGGAAGGAGAGAGCCCACTCATGAAAGTTATCTGGCCATCTCTTCCCCATACAAAATGGATGCATGCTGAAAACGAAGGACAAGTTGAGATGCATCACTCTCTCAGAGTTTAATTCATACATAGATTTGCTGTATGATGCAGTTATGGTATCTAGACAATGATGGACATCTATAAGGCTTCCTCCAAAGTACAACCTGAAGTGTGACCTTACTCCTAGGGTCCAGGAGGCTGAAACAGCAAAGGTTAAGATACTTAACAATATTCATACATGGCTTTTGATGTTATAAAGAAGTAGCCATGCAGAACAGACTCTAGTGGATATATATGACTGGTAGCAGTTATAAATGAGCAAGAAGCACTCATGTCTGATTTTCCCCATAAATCAACCAGTTGTCCTTCATCTAGGTGGTCCTCCCTGTTACTCCCCTGGATGTTCTGTGACCTCCTATGTACTTAGAGAACTGGAAATTTAGTTCAGTATTAAGGCTGTTTTTGACTCTCAAACTAGTTTGATGCACATGTTATAAAACTGATATCTGTTTTAAAATCAGTGCTAAGAACCTTAAAAAAAAAAGCATTGTGTTTTATCATTCAGGTATCTGAAAGAAGATGAATTTGGCAGAGATTTGTGACAACGCAAAGAAAGGGCGAGAGTATGCACTTCTGGGAAATTACGACTCATCAATGGTGTATTACCAGGGAGTAATACAGCAGATCCAGAGACATTGCCAGTCAGTGAGAGACCCGGCAGTCAAAGGGAAGTGGCACCAGGTAGGACAGCTCACAAGTGTTCCATGCACCATGGCAGCCATGTTCTGATCTCTTGAGGAAGCAGAGTTGGGAAATTAACCAGAGAATTTACATATCCTTAGTGGTCTGCATACTGAAATACATTTCACATTTAACTCTACACGTGGTTCTGGTAGACTACTTACTCAGCGCTCTATGTATTTCTGACCATACATTTTAATCTTTGAGGGTACTTAATTGTAGTTGAAGGTTTTCTTAATTTTAAAAATGTGCATGCCAAATTGTATCTGCCAACAAATTTTAAAAATTAGGTATTTCTTATTGCTGTCTCTCCTCTCATTTTTGTTTGTAGTTTTAATCTATTTCATAAAAGTTTTCCTTGAAAGTCTCCTTACAAACCCAAATGGGTTGGCAATCTAATAAAGGCACTAACATCATTTCTGTCTTTTTGACTGTACAACTTGATTATATAATAGTACAGTTAATGCAAATGAATTATAATTTCCCCAATTACTGTTGTAACTTAAAATCCTTTTAAAATAAAGTACAAAGTCAGACAGCACTTTGAAGTTCCTGTTTCCTCTGGTGCCTTTCCAGAGCCTCCCTGCATTTCTCCACACGTCAGAAATTAGTGCTTCATTAAGTTTTGAGGGTAAATTGGGCTCATTTTCCACCATAAGATTTACCAGATTTCATTGAGTAAGAACACCACACCACGCTTGCTGTAACTTGGGCTGAAATTCTTGTGTCTCCAGTTTTTCTTGTCCCTCACAGGCAAGGTGCTTGTGTTTCGTGGTGGGGAGTGTTTCTCTCGAGATATTCCTTTGTGCATTTTACATGGGGTTTGGCATGTACTACTTCTGTGTGTCGTGTCATATGGCCATACACACTGACACCTGCCTCTCACTGGGGTCTTTCTTTGGTTCTGTAGTTACTCCTGGGTTCTTTTCAATATACTGTTCCGGGAAAATTTCTTCTGCTCTGCTTTGGAGTTCAATGTGCTTTCTGGTTAAAAAATTACTATAATTGTTAAAAACAAGTTTATAAATACAACTTTTCCAGCCATTGTTTGCTTTTGAGAATTAGCATGGGTGCCAAGTTTGAAGACAGTACTTTGCACATAGTTGGTACTCAGTTTTGTTTTTCAAAGGAAAATCTTGACTAAACTCCACATAAACCTTACCCAGGACTCCTTACCCAGGAGGCCCAAAGAGGGGATCACAAATAAGGGTGGGTGGTGTGTGATCCTTAGCTGTGTCCGGCAGTGACTAGACCCTCACGGTAAACATTTCATACTTCATGACAGCAGGGATGGGAAATGGGGGTGACAGTTTTGACCAATTTTATTTTAATGTCTAAGAATATTGGAAGATTTAGCATAGTATTTTTGATGTCTGGGGCAAATAAGTTGTTACTGATTTGAGTGCTTGTTTAAGCTACATTAATAATCAGCATATTCTTTATTAGACTCACAGCTTTTCCTTTTGTGACGAGGCAAGCAATGCAGCCCTTGCCCTCAGTGCTCTCACTCTGAATGGTTGTTGATCACGTTTTGCACACTGTGACTGACACTAAGAAGGGTTACACTCTGTCGTCCTCTATTTTCACTTCGTGTGAGCTTTGAAGGGCTTCTAACAGCATGGCTCCTTCCTTAAGGTACGGCAGGAACTCTTGGAGGAGTATGAACAAGTGAAGAGTATCGTCAGCACGCTAGAAAGCTTTAAGGTCGACAAGCCCCCAGACTTCCCTGTGTCTTGTCAGGACGAACCGTTTAGAGACCCAGCAGTTTGGCCACCCCCTGTCCCTGCAGAACACAGGTAAGTGAGACTCGGTCAATAGGAACGGCTAGATAACCACACTCAGAGTGTAGAGCCTTATTTGAACAATTTTTCAGATGCATTTGCTGGGATAGGGATTATAAACTTGATATGCTTATCACGTTTGTTCCTTACAAGGTCCAGAACTTGTGTTTGGTAAAAGAAGAGGCAAATCTGTGCCATGCTCTTACTCTCTGTGACCTTCCGGTTGACACCATAACAGGTGTCTGACAGCTTAGATTAACACCACACCTTGATGCTTGTTTGAGAAGACTGACCCCTGCCAGTGAGCTGGTTGGGCTGCCAGTGCCTTGGTGGAGAAGGGACACCTGTAATTTTCAGTGGCCCATCATTGCCTCAAAGGTCAGACTGCCCAGGGTGGCTTGGGTGCCTTTTGTTCCCACCAGCCTCCCTGAGCCTCTCCTTCCCACTACCCTCTTTCCTGTTTTCTGTCTGTGCACATGTGCTCTTGCTCCAAGGAAGCCCGGAATTCACACCTCTGAGCTTCCTGGCTTCTTCAGGTCCCTGTCAACTGACTGAAACTTGCAAGTGTTGTGTTGCATTTGCTTGTCTCTTCAGGGTTAGATGGCAAGTGATGGAAGGCAAGGGCCAAGATTTTGTTTATTTAAAAACCACACAGCAAATGTACTTTGCTAACACAGAGGCTTGCCCGTCATAGGAATTCAACAGTGATGGAGTAACGCCATTAAGTTGATGAGTTAGGAGACTGAGGCCCGAGGGACCTGGATGTGTGATTTAGGTTAGACTGAGATCTGAGATCAGGTCTTTGGGCTTTCCTTCTGTCCTTTGCTTTGTGAAGTGATGCTTTGGGCCAAGAGTTGTCTCATAGGAAATGTATTTTCCTTTTGCCAGTAGCTGGGGTTGTCTATGACTAGCTGCTCTCTTCAAGTTTTCCAAAAACATTTAAAGGATTGTGAAAAATGGCTAATTTTTCATTGTTTTGTTTTAAGACAGGGTCTTGTTGTGTAGCCCAGGCTGTCCTGGAACTTGCCATGTAGCCCAGGCTGGCCTCTGTCTCTGATTCTTCTGAATTAGTCTCCCACGTGTCAGGATTACATTCCCCACCATCTCAGCCACCTAAATTCTTTCGGATTATTTTCTTCCAAGTTATAGGAGGTTTGTGATTTCCAGAGAAAAGGGAGGCAGTAGGTGAGAATTCTTTTATAAGGAAAGTGATGTGGTTTTGGCTTAGATAGCCTCCCCTGTCAGAGGGCACCATGTCAGGAGTCATGCTTGTTCCTGGGAAGCTCCAGAGTTAACGCTGAAAAAAGAAAGAATGTGACCGTGGTCCGCCAGGACACCACATTGTCCCCGCACATGCACTTAGTTAATGGAATGCATGCCTCACTCTTTCCTGGAAGTCATTAGCTCCAAAATAGCCTTCTGCCTTAAAGCTAAGAGCTAAGAATACATTTACATTTTAGGGTACATGTTCTGAATTGTTACATCACCACCATTGATTTCAGGAGGCAGTGCTGCCGACAGTAACCCTAATATTTGTGGTTCAAATGGTAACAATTGTGAATAACATTTTCCCATTGATGAGTGCCGACCTGTCCCTCATTACAGACCACTAACTCAGCCATCTCCTGTTGTCTGTCCTTCCTCACATACCTGCAACGCAGATTGCACATATTTTATACTTAGTTTTAATTTTTTTAATAATGAAAGTGAAAGAGAAATGCATGGATAAACTTTGCCTTCTCCACACTAAATGATGTTTTTTTTTTTCCTTGTGTGGGTGCTGGAGAGATGGCTTAGTGTGAGCTGCTCTTGCAGAGGACCCAGGTTGGGTGCCCAGCATCCACTTTGGGCAGCCTCCAGCCTCCTGTAAATTGCAACTCCAGAGGGTCTTCTGGCCTCCAAGGTGTGTGTGCACACACAAGCTATACACTACATTATACACACGCACGCACGCATGCACACATAAACAAAAGCTAAAAGTCTTTTGCTCCATCATGTGTAGCTCTTTTACATGGCATGTGCTTCTGTGTTCTCTGTGGATTAGAGACAGTATATTAAACAAATGAACATGTGTGTCACCAGGGGAAGGGACTCTTATTTCCACATTGTGTTAGTTGCTTTTGTGTCACCACAAATGCTGATAGAAACAGTGAAGGAAGGCTTAGTGCTCAGGGTCTCACTGGGTGTAGTCCATGGCTGCTGGGTGCCATGCTTTGGGCAGAAGGCCTGCATGGAGGAAGCAGCTGCTGGGGGAGTGATTCAGCTTGCCTGGAGACAGGAAGCAGAGGTGAGGAGAGAACGGAGACTAGGGCAAGATCAGTTCATGCTCCAAGCAACCTTCCAGCTGGCCGTACTTGTAAAAGCCCCACATGGTACCGTCACTGGGAACCAGTGTATAACACACATGAACTGGTGGGGATATTTCATGTTCAGACTGTAACACACCTGTCAGCGACCACAAGAAAACACAGAACAACTCAAGAGGTTGTATGAGGGGGCGTGGGCAGGGGATGGGGCGTGGTATGTTCAATACCTAAGTAGTAATTCAGGTCATAATTTAAGACTTCGGGAACAGGCTCTGCCTGTGAACACCAGTGGCCTGTCCCGTGGAGAGTGCTTTAGTGACTTGTATGTAAAGCACGTGTCACTGAAGAAACTCGATCTGGTGCATTGAGGGTGTGCAAGGCCCATGGGGTAATCGTGTCCTCACAGCTAATGGCCATGGGAAGCTGGAGCTGAACACTGTTTTACTCCTTTAAAAACTTGGCTTGTTCTTCCTGTCATGAAACAACAGTTTCCACCTGGAGATGATGACTGGCCAACAAGGATCTTTAAAAAGACAGTTGCCATCAGCCCAGGTTCTGGATCTGAGCTGCGAGGCTGATGCCCACTTGCTCTGGGGCTGTAGTTATTTTCACTGCTCTGAGCACCGGTTTCCATGTCTCTGGGTGGGGAGTCTCTACTTTACGGGACTAAATAAGAGAATTTAGTGATGATGCCCAACAGGTAATAAATTACAATCAGTGGTTGGCTCTGAAAAGAAGAGCTGCGGTATTCTTTCAGATAAATAATGGAAGATGACATAATTAAAACTTATTTCATTCAGGAAAATCTCAAATGAGTATTTCTCCTTGAAAATTCTGCATAAATCTTTAGTGGTCTGGACCGCGTTGGTCTGGCAGAGAGAATACTAGGTTTTCAGTGTTGAAGATCCATGGCATTGGTGTTCATTTTCAGGGGAAGGGGGCCACTAGTAACCACTGGTCACTTGCTGTTTCTGAGTTGTCTCTTACTTAAGTCCTCCAGTGCCCCCATCAAGGGCTGTTGTAGCAAGCTGATTTAGTGCTGAGACCCCGCCAGACAATGAGAGTAAAGTTAGGCTTGTTACTTTTCCAGGCAGGACTTGAACCCAGAGCCCCTCAGTGCCAGTGGTCTTATTTGTATCCACTTTGTTGTGTCATTTCAGCACACATATCCAGTGGCATTTGTAGCTGCATTTTGATACATAAGTCTGTGTCCTAATATCTACTTGTTAATAGTATAATAAAAGTAATACTAGTGGTGGTGGGATAAAGAAATTGAAAGCGCTTAATGAAATAAATATTAATAATTTAAACATAATTAAAACATGTCATGTGGGAGCACCATACTGAAATTATTATTTTAGTCAATGGAGAAATATAATTTACTGTTTTCCTTCAAAGCCCTTCAGAGATGAGGTTCATGTGCTTGACCTTGGCTGCTAATCTGGCCAGCCTGTCTGTACTTCTGTCTGGTTGAGTTTATGGAATTGTAGTGCAGAACTTCCTCTTCACATTCCAGTGACACATCACATGCACACTGTGGCTTCTGTCAGTGGTTTTCCTATGTTTTTAGAGTTAGACTTTATGTGTCGTGGATTTGCTGAGTCTAAACACGATCCTGTTTTAAATCACCAGCAGCTGCATAGATAAATCAAAGCAGCCTTTTGAATAAATTAGATCCATTGCCTTGAATCTGAGAAAATTGAGCTGTGAATGTAGGATCATGATGGGAGGTCAAAGCAATAGTAGAGTTAAACTCTAAAGAATGAAGCTTCCAGATTGTGTCCTTCGTGAGTAGGTTTCTTAGATTAGTGAAATGATTTTGATAATATTTCATGTGTAGGCTTAGTAAGTACATTCTCTTTAACAAGGTGATCTCTCCTTGTGAGGCCTTAGATGGTGGCTGAGGCTGTCTGTAGCTGGGACAATACTTGGTGTAGCATACAGTCAATAAAATAAGTTTCTTTTTTGTGTATGAGTGGTTTGTGAGTGTGCATGTGCATGAGATTGTTTATGTGAATGTGTCTGTGTGTGCCTATGTAGTCCGTGTGTGCATGTGCATGAGAGTATGTGTGTGTGAGTGTACATGTGTATGTCTATGTGTGTGCATGAGAGTATGTGTGTGTGAGTGTACATGTGTATGTCTATGTGTGTGCATGAGAGTATGTGTGTGTGAGTGTGCATGTGTCCATGTATGTGCATGTGCATGAGTGTATGTGAGTGTGCTTGTCTGTGTGAATGTGCATGTCTATGTCCAAGTGTACATGTGCGTGAGTGTGTGTGTGTGTGTGCACGTGCACATGTGCAAGTGCAGAGGTGAGAAGAGTACACTGCTCTGTCACTCTGCCTTATGCCTTTGAGACAAGGTGTGTTTCACTGAACTGGAGCTGGGCTGGCGGCCAGCAAGCCCGAGTGACGCTCCTGTCTCTGTTACCCTCATGACTGACTATAGCTATGGGCACTCATGGAGCCACGCACACTGTTTGCTTGGGATTCAAACTCAAGTCCTCAGCCGGGCGTTGGTGGCACACACCTTTAATCAATCCCAGCACTCAGGAGGCAGAGGCAGGTGAATCTCTGTGAGTTCAAGGCCAGCCTGGTCTACAGAGCTAGTTCCAGGACAGGCTCCAAAGCAATACAGAGAAACCTTGTCTCATAAAACCCCCAAACAAAAACAAAACCAAATTCAAGTCCCTTGCTTACATAGCAGGT